CGCAAACCGACCATTGGCATAAACCTCCAACACCGAGTTATCCACCACGAGAGTCAAATCCAGCGTCTCAATCGCCTGCTCTCCATTATTCAGCACGTCAAACAGACGCAACTTGCCAGCCTCCGCACTGCTATCAATGCCATCAGTCGTGCGCGCCGCAGCACTAGTGTTACTGCGATCGACGATAATCGACTCGTTCGAGAACTGGTAGTACACGGTAGTACTTTCATGCTCCGACGAGAGGATCTGGAATCCACTCTTAAGCCCCGATCCCCTAGCCGAAGCAGGGAAGGAAAGCTGCGCGGACAAAACGAAGAACTTCTCGGACGGGGAGCGCTTGAACGGCAGAACACCACTGCTGTTCAGAGTGCGGTCGGACTCGGTGAACGAAGTTCCCGACAGCAACGCGGCCTTGGTCTCTCTCGCGATGGAGATACCCAGCGTCTGCAGCTCGACGGTGCCCGCACTGCTATCGCTGCTCACGACCTGCCACGACGCACCAGACTCCCGGGCCAGAGCATTGTCCACCACATTGGGGATATACAGCACGCGCAACTCACGCGGAAGCAGCAGCGTACCGGTCCAATTCTGCTGGTTCGTGGGGAACCCTTCGGCCTGTTCGAACAGGTCACCGGACAGCCAGACGTAGGAGATGAAGCGGTCTGGAGCGCCGCTCTTCGTGGAAGGCACAGAAGTCGAGGGGAGAACCTTTCCGGCAGCAGCGTAAGAGGAGAAGCCCCAGTCGAGGAAGCCCGCCATGTTGGGGGTGAAAGAGACAGAGTCATTGCGGGAGACTGTGCCGGACACCCAGAGCATGTCGTGGATGCTGGTGAGCTGGGGCACGACGGGCAGGTCAGAGCCCTCGGTGCCGAGGGTCGAGAAGATCTGGCCGTGGGGGTTGTATCCGTACTCGTCGAGACTGAAGACGTTGCCGGTCTCGAAGTTGAAGGCCCAGCGGCCGGCCCAGGTGCCGTTACCCCAGGTGGAGTTGGTGGGTTCGTGCCACCATTGGCCGAGGTACTCCCAGTACTGGAAGTCTGAGTCGTACTGACGGTAGAGGAATTGGGCGGGGCCCTTTTCGTGCAGACCACCGGAGATGACGGTGTACCAGGTGTTGTTCTTGCTGTGGAGGAGGGAGTCGAGGGTGGGGTTTTGGAAGACGTAGGGGTCCCGGAATGCGGTGACATTGTAGGCGAAGGGAGGGCCAGGGATGACGGGGCCCTGGTCGAGCTTGGTGAAGTTGCTGCCGCCGTCGGAGGAGACGGCGAGGGATTGGGTCTCACTGCCGCGGGTGTAGGGAATGGACCAGTGGATGGGGAGGTAGGAGACGGAGGTGTAGAGGAGGGTGGGGAGGCCGTTGATGCCGTTGGGGATGACAGAGCCGTCGAAGACACCGACGGGGTCGTTGATGCTCCCGGGGACAATGACTTGGTCACCTTGGTTGAGGTCCTGGTAAGTGGCTAGATCATCGGTGGTGGCACTCGAGATGCCATTGCCATCGTGGAGGAAGCCGACGTGGAAGAGGCCCGTGGCGGGATCGGTGTAATGCAGGCAGGGGTCACCGATCTGGCCATTGGGGGGCAGGACGTGGGCGCGGGGACGCCATGTTTCGAAGAGGGAGCCATTGGGCAGGGTGGAGAGGTTTGGAGGAGCGACATTGTAGTCGATGACAACGGAGGCCCGCGTCTGCATGGAAGGAGAGGCAGCTGCAGCACTGCCGAGCAGTACGGAAGCCGTTTGAAGCTTCATGTCGAGATATCGCAAAGGAGGGGACACTCACTTCCCCTCCCTTGGCAGAGGGGAAAAAATGACACTTTATATGGCATATTTTGTTGATGCAGGGGTGCCGGGGAATTTCCGACAACTAGAACTAGAATGGTTGGAATGCTGGATGAATAGTCCGTATCCTCGGGGAAATTGAGGATTGCGGAGGAAGTCCGCTTAGGGTTCGCGCGGGGAGATTCAGCGTGGATTCCCCGAGATTTCCCCCGGGTTCCCGCAACGAGGTTATGATGCTGCCGATCTTCAAATGGGGACCCGCTGAGGTTTTGTTGACCTGAATGAAGTTACTTGCAGGGTAGGTAAGTTAGCTCGTGGAGTGCTTTGGTTTAACCGTTTAACCGTAAAGAGAAAGTGAAAGCCGGAGGTTTGTCGGTATGACGAGGTGGAGATCTAGTGGGAACGGCAGTGAAGAAGAAATGAAAAGTGGGCAGAATATAGGAAGAAAAGATTTAACGACTCGTATAGGACACGAGGTGCTGCTTCAAGTGTAATACTCAGCGTGATTTGGGCGAACGGTGTGCAGAAAAATCATCGTGCGATGTGTGCCTTGGCCTGACTTGTTCGCACTGGTCCGTCACACCCGCAGCAATGATGATGGTCCAGAGATCCCTTGTCATCGGAGGTAGACAGGTCCTGGGCACCAAGGTTCTCCTTGTTTAAAGCTCATTATCAATCAGTTGGGCCTGACGAGGGCCGGGACGGTGTTTCCCGACACGGCATGAGGTGGAGACTGCGCGATTTGTGATATCGGGTCTGGAAGGTCACGGAATCAGGATCAATATGCTCTGTCGGACGCGACTATCGACCATTACATGAGTTAAACAATGCATATCGGTATCTCTGGTCAGGTTCCTGCTGCAATTGATGAAATCGGATATATCAAGAAAGAAAGAATCGACAAACCTAGTAGGAAAGACAGAAGTAGTCGGTGATATTGGGAGCAGACACGAGAACGCATCCTGGGTCATGAACCCTTGTGCATAGTGAACAATTAAGGGCGTTCCAGGTGAAGTACTTAAGTTACGGTTGGTGGACCTATGACAAATGATATAGAGTAATGAAATATTGGGCGAGGACCGAATGTTGGGGCAAGGACTGAATACATATGTGTCGTTGCGAATTCTGCAACATTCTTCTGCTTTATCTTTTACTACACTGACATATGCTGTCTCCTTACTTACCACAAGGAACTAGAGCCGATGTTTCGCTTGTACCTGGAGAGTAGTATTAGGATTGGGCGGAGAAAAGAGTTACTCCGAATTACACGACACAATCGTAGACATGATACTCAGACATGATATCCGGAGAATCTGTGCTCAATAATAAGAGCAGAAATCTTGTTTAGTTTTTCTTTTATCCCGAAATGACGTCGTACAGTAAATCTTTGATTTATATACCACTCAAACTACCATGTCTAACGGAATGTCTCTTTGAAAGTTAGGTAACACTCCGTAGCCAGCCATTTGTGGCGTCCCTCATAATAATTCAAGTGTATAAAGAAGCATGTTCACAGCGTGGTGCTAGCATCTGACGGCAAGCAGAACCATGCACAGATCAGTCTTGAACGGGTCGAAGAAGTCGCCGTACACTACCAATTTTGTCAATAACAACGATTGATGTTAGATGTGTTATCCTGGTAATTGCTCAATAGTGGTTTTAGCTATGCTAAGAAAATGCAGTTTTCCAATCGAAGAGGCTGATATCCAGTGGGGTCCAGAAAAACCTTTTGAGACGCATTCTAGGACGAACTTGGCAATGCGAGATGAATTGGCCAAGCACAAGATAGCTGAAGGAAGACTTTCAAGAGGGGCCAGTCGGATCCGCAGATTTCGACCAAGCTAACAGCTGCAGCAGGCCTTCTTTAGGTCAGAGCATCAGCCCTACAATAGACTCTTCGCTAAATATAACTTTAGCTTACGTCCAGGTACCCTAGCCTTACGGCATACTTCAGGGAGCATACAGTTGGAGATAATAATGTATATAAACATTTATTGTTACGAGTGAGAACTTGGTTCTCCAAATGCTGCCTAGGACAGGTTGTCGGTCAAAGGTTTTGTGCGAGCCTTCTACAATGATGCATCTACTATCAATGTTGACGTGTCCCAAGAGCTTCTTGTGGATGAAAGACAAAGGATGCGTCATGACACTTTGAGGCATGGCAATCTCAAACGTGTCCAAGCGTTCCCTCCTGCACTTCCTAACCATGATTGGTTATCATGGTGAGCCCCAGTGTGCTGCTACAAGGATTGGCTCGGTCGATGTCTCTGACTTGTCCCAATTTAATTGGCCGGATGGGTGCAGGGTTATGTAGGTCCAACAGGCGATCTGTATTGACAAGGCTAGCAGGCGGAAGATTTTGTGACAGGTACAGTCTACTCTTCTCACATGCTTTTATTTGTACGGCTAGATGGCTATCCCTTGATCGGCTGGCGGCTTGATAGACGCGTTTGGCGTATCTAGCTTATTCGACGGCAGATGGTCACTTCCTATGCAAAGTGCTGCATGGTCCACGAGAGCAAATCTAATGGGGAGTATTGGCTTTGGAGTGTGGTGATCGCTCTGGTGGTCTCCTGTCACAACTTTCACGTTGGGCCGGTGTCATGAAAGAACTGGAATCCCTCTAGTGATTCTATGCGCACACTAGCATCGCACTAGGTGCTAGTAATGGAGGGGATCCTGGTCAAAGTCGAAGATCTAGCGACCAGGCTCCAAGATATTGAACTCGTGTATCATCGAAATTGTACGGCAACTGAAAGAATAAATATACTCCGTGGGATTGAGAGAGCTCAAGTTGGGCTAGAGGGCCATTTCATCAAATTTTCTCCAATTGAGCCTCGCCCCAGTCTCTTAGTGGATAGAAGCTATACTGATCTCGGCGTTATTCGCAAGCATGGGTGCCTCGCGCTAAAATCAAGACGATGTAACTGTACTGCATGGTGGCGGTCAGAAAAAGATGCCCAATTCCATGACGGCTCTTAGTGGAGCAGGCAAAAGGCCTAGGAGATGACCGATCCAAGTAATGACTGGGATCTGGGGTGCTGCTCCCCAATCAGACGCCCAATCCCAGTATAGAGACAGGAGCGGTCTTCTACCACGTTGGAAGAGGTTAGACAGTATACGGTTTTAATAGCGGCGAATCGGCAGATTGGAACTTCAGATGGAGTTAATATTGGAAGCTGACGGTGATAGCGACTCGAATCTTCACATCGCTAATGAACATGGCGGCAGAGTCACCAACCTCCCATTTCACCGCCGAGATGCTTGTGACGTTGGAGATGTTCAAGGATTCGCCGTGGGAGGAACCGGTCCCCGTTAGTCCCTTCTGGGATAGTATAGACTACTTGATCGCTCGTAATTTCCTCGGCAGCTTTATACACGCCGAACTGGCACAGCTGCCCATCGACAAGGACAGCACCGCTGACTAGTAATCTAAGCTCATACTTCTCCTACGACTCCTGCAGAAGAAATTGGATGAAGAAGAAGCCGCTACTTCTTTCTAATCTAGTCTCTATACCAGCAATTATCAGCAGTGGTACTGATTATGGCAAGGGATCTACGCCCTTCAGGATGAGTTGAATCTCCCCGAGGCGGAACAGACTGTTCGGATGCTGGTGGACAAGACACCATACAAATTGAATCCAGTACCAGCGCATATGCTAGCAGAGCACCTGGTAAATGTTGGCGAGTACGAAGAGGCAGAACGGATTGAGAGACCGATCCGCGCATGGATGGCTGCCTGGTTGTATTTGGGGCTGTCCTCCCCACAGGCGCTCAACGCCCGTCGGCTTATCGCACAAGCCTTGTGGGGACAGGGACCGTCGAGGCGCTCTGAAGCCGAGGATCTAATAGCCGAGATTTATTGGATTGTTGAGGAGATGGGGGAAGGGCACTTTGCGGTTTACCAGGCGGAAGAGAGAAGGCTGAACCAGGTGATGATGGCCACTCTCCGATGACTCTGTTCATGTCTTTAGGTATTATCCATAGTTATAGGGATCGCCAAGACCAAGTCTCAATGACTCGCGCCGTGCTTTCTCCCACAATTGTTACTCGGATGTGTAAATCGGTGCTATCAAGCCGTGACAGCTTCCTGGTGCATGGGCTTGTCCGCGCCGCACATACAAAGTGCGCGTAGGTAGATACTGAAGAGTGCGGGAAGAATTTAACGGTGCAAGAACAGGTGGACTGTCATACATGCAACTGAATTTTTGCGCATTCTTCTAAGTAATCTATTGTTGGGCGATATATGTCGTGACGGAAGTATTATACAGGAGAAAAGGGCAATTAAGGAGCGCGAGATTAGAGTCCGTCGAGCCGGCAGAGGTATTATAAGGAACGTGGTCTGGCGAGGGCAGGTGTATATGTCGATCGAGGAGTCGCAGGGAAAGGGTATATTCGGGAAGGAAGTGGCTGGAAAGCAATTATTCGGCGCCGATGCACTTTTCGCAGCAGCTGCAGCAGTGGCAGCAAAAGCAGCAACTGAGCGAAACCAAGCAGTCAGCACATGGACATACTCAAAAAGGGGCAATTCTCGTATGGGTTTGCGGGGCTGATCACTCACGCATCTTCCGGTCCGTCACCACCACGCAGGCGCAATTCCATTCCTTCGCCAAGGGACTGAAGTGGTATTTGTTAGTTCTCAAGTCTGCGGCGGCGTTGCAGCATAGAATAAAATCCAAGCACGTACAGGCTGATCGGTGACGATCTCATCCATGGTGGGGGCGGCCGGGCTCTGAGGTTGGTTCATGGTGAGAGTAACGGGATCCCAAGTCAGCTCCTGAACCTCCTCCTGGCCGGAAGGGCGGAACCAGCTCATCACAGCATCAAACATTATGTCTATAAATATTCGAGCGGTATTTCAACCTGCAATTGAGTGATATGGAGCAAAATTGACCGTGAATTGTTGCCAAGGAGCGAGCGATAAACCCAAAAGAAAAACGAGTGTCGGGGTGGATGGGTGTAGGCAAAAATTACAAGGAACGGCGGGTTGAGGGAGAAAAGAAGAGAATGAAGAGGATGGAAGAGGAGAGAGGATGACAGAAAGGGCTAAGACGACACCATCGACGCCATTTAAGATTGATCCCGCGGACTATGCGGAGCTATGTACAAAAGGCTCGCATTTTTTTTCCCAGCTTCCGCAGGGGGGGCTTTTCGCTGAACGAGGGGACAGACAGCCAGGCTAGGCAGAGAGGAGAGTTCCGATAAAGGTCTCCATCCAGGAAGCTTAGCCCGATCGGTTTGACCTTAGTGGCCGAACCATTTGTGAATGGCTTCGTCGCCTGCGACGAGTCCTTGCTGTCAGGGCTCCGCCCGGACATACGTAACTTAGCGGAGTCGAAAATTCACGGCTCTGACGGGTTGCCGTTGTCCGAGAGGGGAGGCCTACGTAGACCATCTCATCCCCGAGGACCAAAGTGGTTAATCGCGTGGACAGGGAGGCGCATGCTTGGTGGAGAGGGGAATGTACAATGGTAGAAGCACTAGGGAAGGCTAGGAGTTGGGACCATTCAGGTCCATCAATTTGGTTAGTTAGATAGGGAGGAGATAAGTTCGTCCAGAACGATGAAGAGGAGATCCTCCGCCTTAGATGGTGCTGATTGGCAGAGATGGCCATGTCAGAAAAGCTGGGGAGGTCAATCCGGCCAGCGACCCGACAGGAATCATGATGGGAAGAGATTTGCAACTGGAACTGGAAGACTAGTTACTTAGTGGTGGGTGGATACAGAAAGGAGAGCTGAGAAAGAAGAGAGAAGAAAGACTCAGGCAAGCAGGCAGCAGTCCGACCGGGAAATTTGCTCGATTAGGATGAGGTCTGGAATACACCTTCCCCCATGAGGACTAGCGCACGACACTAGCTTGCCTTAGTGTAGCGTTTCCACCAATTAGATTCTACTAGACTCGTCAACCACTTTTTTTTCATTTGTTTATCCGCCACAAGAGACTATTCCTCTTTGGGCTGTGCCTCATAGGCATCTGCATTTAGTGAGAGACTGTCCATCGACGACAGTATCATTCCATTTCCACCTACTACTATCATTTATATGTGATCAAAAAGGAGGACCAAACTAGGAGGGGCTCGTACCCCTGGTTTTACACCCTTGATCCTCAGGGTTCATTCAAAGGGTGTTGTACTATCTGAACGATAATAATAAAGGATGCCATTCGCCATCGTACCTTTCCGTTCATCCCAATATTACCTAGTGGTGGTCGTACTTCCTTCACATTTCTGCACGAAAAATGTCAGTGCAGCGTCAAGGAGTGGGCTCACCATCTGCAACCCGTGGAGCCTCCTGATGCTTTGAGCCATCTGGTGTTCAAAAATAGTGTGATCGACACAATCAACTTGCGACGCCCGTCACGACCGCAGGTATACCATCGTACAATAATACCACTGAATAGCACCTGGATAGTACAAAGTACATGGTGCTTTATGTTGTGTTACGCGTTGGGACTCGCAATCCTGACGATCCTTTCAGTATTTCTACGAGTGTTATCAGGCAAAGTGGACCTAACAGATAGTTCCCCCAGTCTAAAATATAAACCGCCCTCAATGAGCTGCTGCTGCGCAGAAACTTGGGCTAAAAGATCATCAAAGATCCTGCGTCGCTACTGCAGATGTTCAGTGTGGCCCGACATTCAATAGCAGAGAAAGTTTCACGGCAAGCAAAGGGTAGCATCTCTGCCATGTGGTCCACTGTCACCTTGTCTCGGGCGTACCAGAGTTGCCAGAATCTAGCTCAAGTTCTAGAATGGTAGTTAAGCCCGACGGCCACCCTTCTATATTGCTTCTGCCCCATTACAACGGCCGTTCAGCCACTCCGATGTTTGCCTCCCGCCCGACAAGCTTTTTTGGTCGGATGCTAAGCTTTATTCTGGTGCCTAATTTTATCCGTGGACCATGCTATAGTCCGAACCATGCCACGCAACTCTAAGCAGTAGAATAATGACAGCTCAGAAACAATCATTGTTGTTCGGTACGGAGCATTTTTTCTGTTTCATCTGTCAGCTTACTCTGGATCTGGTCTTCACACCATGGATACTCCAGACACGAGAGAATTGCTGACATCTACACAAGATTCACCAGAACCATATTTCGGAATAGTGTTTGCAACACCACACCACTCCAAGCTGAAACATATGTTGACGGGAGTCGAGCGGAATTGCATACCGGTGAACATGCACGAACCATCATGCGAGCCCATGCAAGCATCTACAGAGAATGACATCTATCCTCTCTCTACCTCCAATATCTACGTCTAACAGCGATGGTGCTGGACACAAGGACTATTCTTCAAGTCAGTTAGGTATACGGTTGCTAAAGACCCAGATGATGGGTGATTGAGCGGCGCACCCACGCTAGAGCAATCATACAGTGTCAGTAGTGTGTGGCTGTGGTGGCGGGGATTTGACCACGACATAGACTGTTTGATTCAACACCCGTCTGCATAGTGCATACTGCTGCCCCCTAATGGTAGGTCTTTCCAGTATGACATGTGCCGTCCGACCAAAATTTGGTTTACTGCAGCGAGATTTTGGACTGTAGATCAGCCACAACCGTCTCCCGTCGAGGATCGACCTAGTGTTAATCTGCAGAGACAACTCGCGACTTTCTTCGACGCTCTCAGTCTAGAAGCTTCAGAATCTACGGCTTTCCAGCTGGCAATTGTTCACTGGCTTGCTTGCAGTGTGTGCTAGAAGCTAGGTGAACAAAAGAACTGGCACCGCTGATGGTATTGCCTTTGACACCAATATGAAGGTCTCTGAAAAAAGATTTTGCGCTCGAGTGAGACATTGCCACCCCAACTTCACGTCGATCTTCTTCTCGCTGTGACTGAAGACTGCGCCTTAGTATCAATCGAGTCAGTTAACCTTTCGGCTTTGAAGGAAGATGCGGGAAAGATAAGCGTTGGAGAGGCTGACCGTTTGTGGCGGTTTTACCAAACAAGGAAATGTCCCCTCCTGCCGGGTGTTTATTGGCCAATCAGGGGTACTTTGGGCGATCAGTTACCCGGATAGGGCTTGTTGACCCCTGGGACTAAGCCATATATGGCTAAGAGATGTCTCAAAGTCCTTCAAAATGACCTCACCGCTTTCCATTTCAGATTGTATTGCGGCTGCCAAGATCCCCCGGGGATTGCCTCAATGGGGAGTCATCGTCGCCCAGATGGAGTATCACGCAGATCTTGATCAGATCTTCTCCCTGGCATGCAGCGAGAAATCTCCATCGCCTCCTACAAAGACCGGATGTGTCTTACAGCTCCCCCAACCGGCCAGCAGTCATCATGAAGGCCCTCAAGGATGAGTACGATTTGGGGTACCGCAATCTCGAGGACCCAAAGGAACCATCAACCCGCCCGTTATCGACCTCCAGACCATTGCTTCTGCAGAATCAGACCTCGAAATTCTTTTTGTCAGGCTGGACTTGGGAGATTGTGAGCTGTGTCATTGCCGTGGCGGCTCTGGTCGCCATCATCATCGTCCTCTACAACTATGATAACCGGCCTATGCCGGACTGGCCATATGGAATCACTCTCAATGCCGTGGTTTCCGTGCTGGTGACCCTAATGAAAGCGGCCATGATATTCCCAATTACCGAGGGACTGTCGCAGTTGAAATGGTCCTGGTTCAACCAGCGAAACCAACTGAGCGACCTGTCACTACTAGACGCGGCCAGTCGCGGAGCTTTCAGCGCCACCTTTGTTCTGTTCCGCTTTCTACCTCGGTACGAGTCTCTCACCATTATAAATATGCACGACATATAGTCTTACAGATGAATAGTCACTTGGTATCTATCGGATGTTTCATAATGGTGGTTGCTGCGGCTATTGCGCCGTTCGTCCAGCAAGTCATCAACATCACTTCGCAGCCCGTCCACTCGCCCGATCATTCCGCCATCCAAGTCTGCAATACAAGCAGCTATGTCGACTATGGCGAAGGCGCTGGGCCGGGCATGAACAAGGTTCCTCTATCCACAACCGGGGCCATCTACACCGGTATCTTCCAGAGTGAAGGCCCAGACAGCAACACAGTAACCATGACATGTCCCACAGGGAACTGTACCTTCACCCCTTATCAATCGCTAGGGTTTTGCAGTCGCTGCGCCAACATCACCGACAGCCTCACCCTTCACAAAACATCGGTTGTTAGTACCATGGCCAATTACAATTACACCCTACCCAATGGATTCAGCTTTGAGACCTCCTGGAGCATGATGTATTTGATGAACGCCACCAACGGCCTGAACCTTGTCAAACTCGATACCGAAAACCTACCGGTGATACTGAACTTCACCGCCATCAGCGCTGCCGGCTACGGTGTGCCACCACAAATCAGCGCCACCGAATGCGCCCTCTATTTCTGCGTCAAGACATACGAAGCGTCGGTCCAAAAAGGCCGCTACAACGAAACCCTGGTATCTACAGCCTCATCCTCGAACTCCTCCGCCACATCGGCGACCAGCGACATCTCTCTCACACCGGAAACATGCTATGTGAACGGCAGCCAACAACCCGACCGCACAGACTGCACCTACAACGTTAGCTGGCTCAGCCGACTCGCCATGTACAACTCTCTGACTCCCTTGCTAAAAGGCAAGGGCTCACTCTTCGTCAGCAACCGGCCCGACTGGTCATCCGACACTATGCGCGCCGTCTACGGCATGGAGGGCAATTACACTGACATCAACTCGATGTTCCAATCACTCGCGGGCGCATTGACGACCCATGCGCGCAACGCCGCGTGCAAGGCGTCCGTCAACGGCACGACCTGGACTGTCGAGTCATTCGTGCACGTCAAATGGTCGTGGATGATTCTCCCGATTGCACTGATGGTCTTGACCCTCGTCTTCCTCATAACGACGATAGTCCGGACGCGGAACCAGTTTATCTGGAAGTCGTCGCCACTGGCGTTGTTGTTCTCGGATGTGGCTGTGGAGGCACCGCACGCGTTCGAGCGCAGTCCAGACTTGACCCATATGGAGGCGGCATCGCGCAAGATGAAGGTGTGGTTGGAGACGACGACAGCAGGGGCGAAGTTGAAGGCGGTGGTGGGATGATACTATCACCAGTCTTACGATGAGAATCTTATACGCTGTATACTAATAATGTGTATAATATGTAATATAGTCTATGAGCAAAACAGCAATTATGGTTATGAAAATTATACCTGGAGACAAGTTCATGAGACCAAATGTTATGTGAAATAGTAACGAAGTAACATCCATATTCTTTACTCTCCATTGATCCGGTATGCTTGGCAAATTGGAAATTCTCCCCCCTTTTCGTGGTCCACATCCCGATGCCCCAATATTGATCCTGAACAATCTAGCTACACTACGACTTTCATAGTAAAGGAGAGAAAATCCAATGGTGAGGAATTTATATTATACACTAACTATACTCATATGGTCCATCCCCGATATACCCACTAAACATTTACACATCAAAAGTGTGTGCCATGGTTATTAACCCATTTAGCACTCCTCGGTAGTGCACTCCTGAACCTTGAGGTAGGCAGCCTTGTACTCCGAGCTGTGAGCACCGTACCAGTAGACCTCCTTGGCAGGGACATCGCCATAACCGTCAACAGCGAACCAAGCCCTACCGCCCTGAGTCAGGTAACCCTGCTCGTTGACGCCGAAGCCAGTGGTGTTGGCGTTGTTGGGAACAGCGCCGGAGTGAGGCTGGGTGAAGGAGATGGGCGAGACGCTGTTCTCGATGATGTACAGGTTTTGCCAGGCGGTGGGGACGGCGCCCTTAGCGAGGTAGGTCAGACCACCACCGTTGGCACCACCGGAGACTGGTTATTTCATTTGTTAGTGAGATATGAAGTGGTTAAGGGAAGAGGGTTGGCTTACGGATCAGCTTGGAGGTGCTCTTGGAGGTGTCGTTGCCGATATAGACGTACTCTGTATTCTCATTAGTATATTGGTAGATGGAAATCCAGATGGGAAGGAGAGCATACCGCCGTCAGTGAGGACGGGGGTGTTGTCATCGGCGATGAGGGAGAAGCGCGCGGGGAGAGAAGCGGCAGAGACGGCGCTGACAAGGCCGGCAAGAGCAACGATGGAGAACTTCATTTTGGATAGAAAGTGGAATTGAATATGATGAATCCACAGAAAATGATTGTTTTGATGGTTTGTGAGTGTGATTGATAGCAAGATGGGCGGTGTTCAGCAGCATTTATATACCCTTCAGGGAGGGGAGGTCAGGTCCACCCCAGGGACAAGTGAAGTCATTTGCGGGCTCAAAGATGAGACTGGGTGGACTCCCGATGGAGATTGCTGTCGTTCTGGGTTATCGATCGTCGGCACTATGTGAGACATGTCTTGGAGTCCCGCGTGCCGTGCCGGATTCCCCGGGTTTATTCTTATGCAGCTGCGGAGGGGTAAGCGGAAAACATGATATGGCAGGCTAATCACAAGAGCACAGCAACTTCAAGCAATTGATCGAAAGAGCTGTTGCATCTCAACTCATAGAGTACCGAGGAATCCTTCGTCAAGAGGTCAACGGTTCTACCGACTTCTATTTCCGGTCTCGGCCGTTGATCGTCCCGATGTTTCAGATGATCTCCCCCCCATGTTTGCCTCTTCCAGTCATTAACCTTAAACAGATCCTCGAGATGGACGATAATCAATAGCCAACGGAGATATACGTTGTACGGAATAGGTAAGGCTGAACACCGCCACAGTGCTCGAATTGTTCCTGAAATATGGAATCATCATGAGCCACACAGTATTCTGGTTGACGGCAAGGGAGGGTTCCACTATGCCAAGGTCATCTTGCCATACTGAAACAGTGACGCTATTGACGTTTGGTCACTTTTCCCAAATCGATCAGCTTCCCCTATTGTCAACATCACCATACAGAGTAATATCTCCGTGGTGGGGTGGGGTGTCGATCGATGACAGCGATCTGTCTTGCTTGCTGAGACAAGCGGCTGAAAGAGACGAGGCTGTGTTTACATCATATCGGAGTTGATTATACTCAGCTTATGCAGAATAAACCGTTTACATGCATACTTGTTAATACTTCCTCTATTTCCATTGGGGATCGGGGCGAAGGGAGGGGACTGAACACAGTCTATGCGGTAATTCCAATTGTCTCCGTTGTTTATAGTCGAGTCCAGCGAGGGCTGTACTCGAAAGACTATAGTAGTTGTCTTACCATAAGTCAACTATACCAGGCACTGGCTTCACTCTGCAGCAAGCTAAGAATGCCGGTCGGGTTGCTTCCGAGACAAGCTCCAAATTGTCTCCAACACACGGTGCGATGATCCCCCTGATGTCCATGATGCGATTATGATAAAAACCAGGCTGAACTGACCTGGCTTGGCGAGCTGAGCGAGTTCAGCTTCTAAATAGAAAGTGAGACATCTACGGAGTTCAGAGATGCGATGGCTAGTAGTCAATATCCGAGAATTCATCCGGGCATGGCTGGATGGACCGACAATCAATGCATGCATACGCACTTCCTAAGCTGAAATTAGCCGGACTGAGATGCGAACAGCATGAATAAAGACTAGATTCTTTAGGCGACCGTGAAAGGTGGTCCCTATTGATACAGACCCCGGGCAGGCGAGATGGAGAACGACCAGAGAAGCACTTCCCGTAGGGAACTCTAGTCGAGAATTGGTTGCGTATGAAGTACTGACAGAGAAAGATGTTGTTGGTGTCCATACTCCTGATTCTACCGGTGTGTGGCCTCGGTGACTGCATTGGTGCTAAAATGTGTGCAGACACTTATCTGAGCAGACTGAGATAGTGCACAATGGCTGACCAAACACCAAGAACAAACAAAATCACCGATGAATGTAACATACACGCTATTATTCCCACGACACCACAGCACGGAAACGATCGCTTCAATGTTTTTCAACCCACCACGATTCAGCAAACCGAGCTGAACCCTCGGCCGGTGCTGCGGGGAAGATAAGCGAAGAAAGATGGTTGGACTCGCACTCCGTGAGCTGCAGCTCCAATGGCACCGTGGCATCAATGCAAGCAGCCGCCAGGGTTTGGCTGCAGGTGTCAACCACTAGTACTCCGATTGCTCGAGCGGGGAAGACCAGGGCCATCAGACAATCTGCTGCAAGGGATGGCCTGCTTAAGAGTCCGTTGCTTTTGCAACTTAATTGCTGTCACCAACCTTCACCTGGACGTGACATTTATCTTCATAAACGCTGGTTGAAAGGGGTATATAATGACACAAAATTCTGTGAACATCATGAATCAAGGGACCAAAAGCATCTTGGTGGCTGCCACGCTGGCTGCCATGCTTCCCTTGCAAGCATACAGCTCCATTGAGCGCTCCAGCCTCCTGCCAACACCACCCATGGGATTCAACAATTGGGCCCGCTTTATGTGCGACCTCAACGAGACTTTGTTCACCGAGACTGCCGATGCAATGGCTGCTAACGGTCTGCGGGATGCAGGGTACAATCGCATCAATCTGGATGACTGCTGGATGGCCTATCAGCGATCCGACAATGGATCCCTACAGTGGAACACAACAAAGTTTCCTCACGGCCTACCTTGGCTAGCCAAATATGTCAAAGCCAAAGGCTTCCATTTCGGCATCTACGAAGACTCCGGCAACATGACCTGTGGCGGATACCCTGGATCCTACAATCATGAGGAGCAGGATGCCAGCACCTTTGCCTCCTGGGGAATCGACTATCTCAAGCTTGACGGCTGCAATGTCTACGCAGCTCAAGGCAGGACACTCGAGGAGGAATACAAGCAACGCTACGGGCACTGGCATCAAGTTCTCAGCAACATGCAGCACCCACTGATCTTCTCCGAGTCAGCCCCGGCATACTTTGCGGGTACAGACAACAACACAGACTGGTACACCGTGATGGACTGGGTGCCGATATACGGGGAGCTAGCACGCCATTCAACTGATATCCTGGTGTACAGTGGAGCAGGTAGCGCATGGGACAGCATCATGAACAACTACAACTACAACACCCTTCTTGCACGCTACCAGCAACCGGGGTACTTCAACGACCCCGACTTTCTAATTCCGGATCATCCGGGCCTAACGGCGGATGAAAAGCGGTCGCATTTTGCACTTTGGGCTTCTTTCTCGGCTCCTCTCATTATAAGCGCCTATATACCCGCGCTCTCGAAGGATGAGATTGCCTTTCTGACGAACGAAGCATTGATTGGGGTGAATCAAGATCCCCTGGCACAGCAGGCCACGTTGGCGAGTCGCGATGACACCCTGGATATATTGACACGTAGTCTGGCGAACGGCGATAGACTGCTGACTGTGCTTAATAAGAGTAACGCAACTGTAACGAAGGAAGTTCCAGTGCAATGGCTGGGTCTGGTCGACACTGGCTGTACATATACTGCCGAAGACCTCTGGAATGGCAATACCCAGAAGGTCGGCGACCATATAAAGGTTGTATTAGCCAGCCACGCAACAGCAGTCTTCCGGCTTAGTCTGCCAGAGGAATGTTCTTCGGTAGTCCCAACAGGACTCATTTTCAACACAGCATCAGGCAACTGTCTGACCGCCGCCTCAAATTCTTCAATCACATTTCAGTCCTGCAATGGAGATGGCTCCCAGATCTGGCGGGTGACATCGTCAGGAGTCATTAGTCCAGTATCACAGACGACACAATTTTTGACTGCCGATGGAAGCTCAGTGAAGCTTCAAGCATGTGACAGCACTGATGACGACGGCCAGCATTGGACGTATGCAGTCACGGGGAGTTTGAAGAATGCAAAGACAGATGGTTGCTTGACGGAGGGTCCGGTGCAAATGAAGTCGTGTCTGGATGAGAGGGATGGCCAAGTATTTGGCCTCCCGAGTGGCATCCAGTTGTCGTAGGGGAGCAAGGGGAGAGTATGGATGTGATCTCACTTCTTGGAAGCTTCTTTATGTTGATGTCTAGACAACTAAACATAAATGATATACGTCTCAAATGCTATTAGTAGGGTCATGTGGTTTATTTGCAGTTGTTCCCGCCAATTCTCAATAGTCCCCTGTGTGTGAAGCGCTTTTCAACTTGAACCAAGTTTGACAGGCTCTAATTAGGTAATTGCAATGTTAAGCAACAAGGAACGCATACAGAATATTATACCTTGGTCCGTGTGTAGAACCTCGAGGGCTAAGGCTCTGGCCATTCTTTCCCCAGGTTCGCCCAGCATTAGGCCATTAAAGATAGCTGGAATGCCTTGAGGGTTGCGGATTGACCAATATCCATATTCAGATTGTCATTGCGTTTAGACCTGCATTCCTAAGCACGTGCATATCTTAAAATATGCTGGTATCTTCTGCGAACCTTTGTTCACCTGAAGTGCAGTAGACATAGATCCCGCCAGTAACATACAATCGCATGGTCTCCAGTGCATACTGAAAGCACGGTTCTGCCTACACAGAATCTTCCCGAAGAAGATTGGAATCACTCCGGTGGGATTAAAATCTTTCAGATTAACTACGGAAATAACCGGCTGGACAGCAAGTCGCCGAAGCCCAGCATTCTTCGGCGCTATTTCCACCAATGGCTCCACATAATGCAGGGTAACCTCAACGTTAGAGTTCCATAACCATTTGATATCAACGCCCGATAGCCATAGTACATCCAAACCCGAGGAATGTGCCTCAACAGTGTGCACTGGAGCAACACGATGGCATTGTTGTACCGAGGACATTCCAGTAACCTAAAGACTTGACAGCGCCTGTCATTGGAATGTACTTTACTGGGATGCCTCACGACAGGTCTAGCCCTGACAGCAGTTGTTATAAAACTCTTTAACCTTCAACTAGCTTCAAGATAAAAAGTCAAGTCTCCACAATACTCTGATTCTCTTCCTTCTATCTCCGAAACAATAAACGGCATCATGGTTTCCGCCAAGGCTCTTCTGTTCACGATGATTTCTGCGGTGATGGCGCAGAACAAGACCCAGATTGTATGTATACTTTCCGACTACTATTCTTCACTTCAAATCAATGATTTGTATCATCTGATTGAAAGGCTTCTAGGGCACCACGAGCGAGTTTCGTGTCTGCACTGTAGACGCAAGGCCCATCTACTCTGAAACCTGCGTCCCTTTGAACCAAACTGGGTATATACCATGCCGACAATCGTTGCCATAGAGCCTGCTTTAACACAAGAGGAATAGGTCAACCCAGTTCAATGTTGCGGTCGGCTGTCGCCAGTATGGGTATGATGACCGATTCCGAAATAGATGTGACCTATCTAGCTGACCGATCTTCTCCTGTAGAAGCACAACATGCACCGGAAATTACGATACGGTGGGATACCGGAGTGCCTGCTATGAGAACAGTCGGTTCTTTCAGAATTTTGGTACGATAAGCGGGAGCATCTATTGCTATCCTTCTTAGAGGACGACGGGTTGTTGAGACCCGTGTGAAGAGTCTGGATGCATTATACGGAACAATTTGATGATTGTGAGGGTATGCTTATCTAGTTAGTGAATGAAATTGACTTGCTGTTTCTAAGCAGCCTGGATGTGGCGTCAATAAGTGATAAGACAAGTTTCGGGAAGTTGGCAGCTACTTACAAAATATGGAGACAACTCATATTACTGTCTTCTTTGACTCAATATCCTGCGCATGTGGGCTGGTATCGGCAATTTCCGACGATAGATTGGACACCCCACGTTGAGCGAAGGCCATCGACAGCGGTAAGCTCAAGGGATCGTTGGGGAAGAGGGACTCAGCCGAGAGAAGCCGCGAGAATTGTCCGCTGGTAACCTGAGTTCAGACCCACGGCACCAGAGATCGACTATTGGATGCGACGGTACAGTAGCGGGCATTAGAGTGGATGATCTGGAGGCACCGATGCTTGTTCGCCGGCGCTAATTTAGGGCCATCGCTTAGAAGAAGAAAATCAAGAAGGGATTCATCAGCCACGGCAGTTTGATCAGGCGTCGGCAATACTCTGAGCAGCATGAAAAAGTGCGAGAGGTGCTTTAAATTGGTTTTGAGTAATTGTCAATTGTCTTACGAGATAAATGGCAGCATGGCGTGGTTGGCAGGCAACATGTTGCAACAACTCAATCCGGGCGATCACCGTCGGACTCCGGGTGGGAATCAGGGTTGGAGACCCATTGCTTATCACAACAGCCGACGCCAGTCGCTCTGGGGTGCATTTGCAGAATCCCCTCGACAAATCAGCTTTTCTTCAGTATCGGCCGGTCTGAATTGACCCAGTCTGCTAGCAGTTGGAGACATGCAATGATGCCATTGTCTCGTCCGATAAGCAAGGGCGGCCAGTCCCCCGTCCCTTCTGTCTGACTTGGAAAAGTTATAATGTCCGTTTCGCCGGGCTAGCGGTCAATTCAAACTCTTCGCCTGTTGTCCCTCTCAATTTCCCCAGCATGCGTTCCTCCGGTCTCTACACAGCACTGCTGTGCTCTCTGGCCGCATCGACCAACGCGGTTGTTCATGAGAAGCTCGCCGCGGTCCCATCGGGCTGGCACCATCTCGAAGATGCCGGCTCCGATCACCAGATTAGCCTGTCGATCGCATTGGCACGCAAGAACCTCGATCAGCTTGAATCTAAGCTGAAAGACTTGTCCACACCTGGTGAATCGCAGTACGGCCAGTGGCTGGATCAGGAGGATGTCGACACGCTGTTCCCCGTGGCCAGCGACAAGGCCGTGATCAGCTGGTTGCGCAGCGCCAACATCACCCATATCGCCCGGCAGGGCAGCTTGGTGAACTTTGCGACCACCGTCGACAAGGTGAACAAGCTTCTCAACACCACCTTTGCTTACTACCAAAGTGGCTCTTCCCAGAGATTGCGCACAACGGAGTATTCCATTCCCGATGATCTGGTCGACTCGATCGACCTCATCTCCCCGACGACCTTCTTCGGCAAGGAAAAGACCAGTGCAGGTCTGACCCAGCGGTCGCAGAAGATCGACAGCCATGTGGCCAAACGCTCCAACAGCTCGTCCTGCGCCGATCTCATCACGTTGTCCTGCCTGAAGGAGATGTACAACTTTGGCAATTACACTCCCAGCGCCTCGTCAGGAAGCAAGCTGGGATTCGCCAGCTTTCTGAACGAGTCCGCCTCGTATTCCGATCTTGCCAAATTCGAGAGACTGTTCAACTTGCCGTCTCAGAACTTCTCCGTGGAGCTGATCAATGGCGGCGTCAATGACCAGAATCAATCGACGGCTTCCCTGACCGAGGCTGACCTTGATGTGGAATTGCTCGTCGGCGTGGGCCATCCCCTGCCGGTAACGGAGTTTATCACTTCTGGCGAACCGTGAGCATTACTCCTAAAACAGCACTTGAGTCGAAGCTAATTATGCAGTCCTTTCATTCCCGACCCCGATGAGCCGAGTGCAGCCGATAACGAGAATGAGCCTTACCTCCAGTACTACGAGTACCTCCTCTCCAAGCCCAACTCGGCCCTTCCCCAAGTGATTTCCAACTCCTACGGCGACGACGAACAGGTAAGATGATACATCTCTCCCTCGGCATCTACATACTAACAGCATCAGACCGTCCCAGAATACTACGCCAAGCGGGTCTGCAACCTGATCGGGCTCGTCGGACTCCGCGGCATCAGTGTCCTCGAGTCATCCGGTGACGAAGGTACACTGCTCATCACCATCTTCCGCTAAAGCATACTTGCTAACAGCAGTATAGGAATTGGATCCGGCTGCCGCACCACCGACGGCACCAACAGCACACAATTCAATCCCATCTTCCCCGCCACCTGTCCCTATGTGACCGCCGTGGGAGGCACCATGTCCTACGCGCCCGAAATCGCCTGGGAAGCCAGTTCCGGCGGATTCAGCAACTACTTCGAGCGAGCCTGGTTCCAGAAGGAAGCGGTGCAGAACTACCTGTCGCACCACATCACCAACGAGACGAAGCAGTACTACTCGCAATTCGCTAACTTTAGCGGTCGCGGATTTCCCGATGTTTCGGCCCATAGCTTTGAGCCTTCGTGAGTCCCTACCCCCTCTTTATCTTATAATGATACAAATAGGGGCTAATGTGATATAGCTATGAGGTTATCTTCTACGGCACCCGCTACGGTTCCGGCGGTACTTCCGCCGCGTGTCCCCTGTTCTCTGCGCTCGTGGGCATGTTGAACGATGCTCGGCTGCGGGCGGGCAAGTCCACGCTGGGATTCTTGAACCCCCTGCTGTACAGCAAGGGGTACAAGGCGCTGACGGATGTCACGGCGGGACAGTCGATCGGGTGCAATGGCATTGATCCGCAGAGTGATGAGGCTGTTGCGGGTGCGGGCATTATCCCGTGGGCGCATTGGAATGCCACGGTCGGATGGGATCCGGTGACGGGATTAGGACTTCCTGATTTCGAGAAGTTGAGGCAGTTGGTGCTGTCGTTGTAGATTACATGTCCTGTGTATGGGATGAGATTTTGTATGTGATAGTATGTGAGATATGCTAAAGATGATTTTCGAGATATGTACGACTTTCACATGGCTTTCTTCCTGAATGGTTCATAATATGACCGGGGTCATATTGGTAGGCCGCTTCTCCTTGTCTAGGATTAAATTAATGCTTCCCCACCCCCCTCAACGACCGTCACGGACAAAGTCAACAGACCACCGCCCTCTCAATATGAGTGGCTGATAAGGAGATGCTAGGTTACTCCGTGAAATCCCTGAAATTAATTCCGACAGGGGTCAAGGGCCATAGGCCCAATCAATCAACTTACCCCGCTTCTGGCACCGCATAGGGCTGAGCGATGCGATGGTGAAAATACCATTCAGTTGCCGATTTTGCCGTGGGGACAGATTTCAATTCCGGATTCACCCTACAGGAGATGGATCATGCCTGGAGAATATATGTCTCTAGTCTGTTGATGCTGGTCCTGACATTTAATTGGTTTCATGTAGCTGTACGGTAAGCGACATGCAGCTTAAACCGCTATATCTGCAGTCAATGCACGAGGGCCAGCGAAATCCGCGATGTCAGTGCAACCTGACCTTAATCGGCCGACTGCAATAAATTAATACTCGCTGTAATGGAGATATACGCATAACCCTCACTTGAGATAAGGCGGAAGTATTTCAGGATCTAATCGGAATGGCTCATCCATACACTCTGTCGGACACTCGCCCCGGTCATACGATACCTGCACGGGAACCCGCAGTCGCAAATTCGCATTCCTGGAGTTATCGACATCGACCGAAATGAATATGGAGAGGCTGTACCGTCGGGAGATGTACGGATGGGTAAACGTAGGAGGGAGGTAATCGGGCGTGTCGAAGTTGAGGATCAGGGGGGTAGTTGCTTGGTATGTCCCAGACTGGTCTGTCATATCATACAAAGTCAGGAGTGGTAAAATTCACTGCGAGCGCTTTACGTACCCTGCTTGTTATGACCGCAGTCCTCCCACGATGCGATGCGCAACTTCCGCACCTGAGTACAACCCGTCCCCGTCGTATTCGCAACAAGCTTGAAATCCAGCAACTTGTTAGCGTCTCCCTCTAACGGAAGCCGGTCTTGCGGAGACACAGAAACAAATGTCATCGCGCGAAGAGACGTCTGGATGCTGGCATATATCCCGGGGACATTTGCGTGCTGTTGCGATGGATTTAGACAGCGATAGTGCCATTTTAGTGGAACTACCGTAGACACCATTCCCGAATGATTTAGGTACAGCGGGGCAGGTTCCTCCGTCTGCACAGACAGATAGTATAGATCGCGGCGATGTAATCTATCGCGAACACGTCGTGACGATGCGAGTGTATATTCGCCGGGAAAGTCGGGAATGCATATGGGAGGGGAACATTCTCGAGCCGGTGCAAACGTTACTGGTGCTTCAGTCTCGGCGATGCATTCTTCGTGGTCGAAGAGTCGGGCTTTCAGGAAGTATTCTATGCGGCCTTGTCCGCGCAGAATGAGGTCGTTGGAGTTGTAGACTGGCATGGGTTTGAAGGAGAGAGATGGGGGTAGGGAAGTGGTGTCGTATTCGTCGGACGAGACGGCATTGGCGGTACGGGGGATGTTGAAGTGGAAGGGGTGTAGGATTGTGCGTGAAGTGTTGGCATTGTTTTGCTGTGCTAGTTCGCGCACATCGGATGCTCGGAGCAGCTGAACTAAGTTAATTCAAAGATCTTATGGAAAAGGGCTCAAGGTCATCTTACTGTGATATTCTTTGCGAGTCGCAGCAGCTGTGTTGAGACATTCAAATTAACTGCCGTTGATAAATGACCTGGTATAGCGGGTTAAAACCAGGAAAGAATTTCTTTGATGAGACCTTTACCTTCAAAGGTTACTTCGACGAGTAATTGTTGCGATGAACTGGCAGTCTCATTGCCTGGCATGGATATAATGACATTGCCGTCAAGGTGACTGTCTGTGATGACATGGCTGCTGCTTTCTAGATTCACCTCTGCATAACCCGGCGATACGCAATTTCTTCCTGATTGTGGATTGACTTGAATGTGAAGTCGCGGTGCCATACTGAATGTCCTAAGAAGACCACTGTGACCATTTTCGCCGAAGGAAGCAGATTGTTGTAGAGAAAAGGTGGAAGAACCCAGCACACCGACCTAG